TGTGTGTGTGTGTGTGTGTGTGTGTGTGTGTGTGTGTGTGTGTATGTGTGTGCGGACTGTCTCTGTCAGGGTGACAGGGTCATGGTGTTTGGTGACAGGGAATCTGGGGCAGTCGCACCACAAGAAAAGCAGCGACCTGTTGCAACACTACGTTTGTCCTTCACGAAAACACAACCTGCTGTTCATGGAAAGATCGGGCTGTGTAAGATTAAAATGTTACAGTCCAGGAGGGGGGTAATCTTACAACTGTTTGACACGCAACGGCACTCTTCACCAAAATGCCTCATTACTGTTTCAGGGGCAATTTACAGTGAGGGCGGGTGCCAACGCCCTGGAATCCCTTTTCAAGAGTCGCTACAGACTTGAACATCGAGGGGAAAAATGTGTGAGGGTGTTTGTTATAATAGTGAGTGAGTGAACTGTGCACATATGTCAGGATCACAGCCAACTTCAAACACCCACCCTCTCCTTGGCAGCGAGGAGTGTGAACGCCCTATGAGCACATCAGTGTGGCTCCAACAATCTCACACCGAGTTAACCCTTGCCAAGGCCACGGCATCCCTCGCCTATATGTTTCTGTTGTGGAACATGCGTACGGACAGTCACAATGCATGAGGTCACCACAGCGGTGAGACGTGTATTTAATTTGGCTCTGTGAACTCCATATCTCAGTAATGATGTCATGTTTGTTTTGCAGACACTGCAGTGCCGGTGCTGGCTGTCACTCCACCATCTGCGTGGTCCAAAGTCAATTCCAGCTCTGCCCTGGGAAGAATAGACCTGTTTTTATAGGATATTAAAAGATATTCTTGACTCCAGGTCATACGCTGCTGAAAGTCAATGAGGAACTAAAAACCATCTATATGTTGATATGTAGACATTTTACGGTAAAGCAAGTAAACAAACACCTCTATTGACAGGACCGATCAATACAGAACAATATTCCCTTTACTGAGAGCCACTGCGTTGTCATAGTCAACTGTACCTAAAGGAATCGAAACTGACATTGTAACCTCTAACTGACCTAATCCTCACTTGTTAAAGGTTCAGTGTGTAAGATTTAGGTGAAAGGTATTTCTGGCAGAAATGGAATATAAAATATTCATAGTGATGTTTTCACTGGTGTGTTTCATCTAAATTGTAGGAATTGTTGTTTTCCTTACCCTAGAATGGGCCTTTTATTTTGAAATAGTTGAAATACAAACTGGATAAACTGAAACCGTTTGAGTTTTCATGATAAATTAAGGCTACCACAGGTTCCCTTTCATGTTTAGAAGTGGAGGATGAGATGAGGAGTATTCAGCTGCAACATGCAACTCCACCTCTAGATATCACTAAATTCTACACACTGTACCTTTAAGTCGGGCTTGCGCAAGGTTCTGTTACAAACGTTAACAAACAGACTGAGGAAACTATCACTAACAATCACAAGTAAACAAGCAAACTGTGGTACTTGACCTGGCATCATGGTGAAAGGAAGGGTTGAGTTTATTTATTATGCTCACTGCTCATCTTGTGGCTAACCTGTGTTTTCTGTCTTTACATCCATCTGTTGTTGTTTCTCTGATGCACCACAGTTTATTACAGCAACACCAACAAGTGTCCACTTCTGGAACAACCATTCAAAGGTTGGACTGCAGAGAGCCAAACCAAAACTGTAAAAGCTTTACGTCCAGTAAATGAAACTGAACCCCAGCCCCAGTCCTATGTTTACCCTTTTTTTTTATTACTGCCTGTGGAGAATCATAGGATACTACTACCCGTGAGAAATGTCCCCTGGAAACCCAATAAAACCTCTACACAGAGGTGGAAATCTGGGGGCAATATATTCCTGCTGAGGACAGCAATGTGTTTGTGACAGATGATACAACGCCCTGTTATCGCTGACCATGCACGTACAGTATCCTCCACCTGCTACAGAGTGTACTGAGGTCTGGGCCCTGATTTTTCCACACAGGGGAAGAAATCAGACCTGAGATTGTTACGAGAACCACATTCACACAAGTCTGCATGTCCCCGTTTAATGTAAAACATTAAAGAAGGAACCCTCAATTTAACTTAGCTGATGTGCAAAAACAGAGGATATATTTTCACATCAAGCAAGCTTGTGGTTTTTGTGGCTTTAGAAAACGGGAAAGGAGAATACTGTTTGAGTCACACAGGCCAATATGCAAAGAAGGCAGTTCCTCCTGTGAACAACACTAACAACAGGGTTCTCTCTACACTTAAAACAGGCTGCAAAAACATATAATACTCAATAAAAAGAGATCTGTACGTATCTTACCATCTGATCAAGAACTCAGTTTCATATTGGCTATGAAATAAGCTTGTCCACATGCCTGGGAACGTCAATCAGCCGGCTCCTGACAAGCCAAATCCACCCTGTTGCCTGCGGATGCCAATCACGCATTCCCTGGCACGGCTAATCCAAGCCAGGCCATCTCAGTGTGCAAACTCAAACGCATTTCTCCCATTTCACTGACATGCCTCGCCCGTGATTCTCAACTGTAATGTGACCAGTCTGTCGTTATGTAGCCTCACAGCGTTGCCGGCTGCAGTTGTTCCTCATTACGTTGCAAAAACCTGAGGACGTGGTCACACTCACCTCCTGATAGCCGTGGGCCGACTCGTCCAGGGGGGTGCAGGGAGTCTTTCGTCTTGCTCGGGGCTCTGAGGTCGGTTGGGGCAGTGGGTTTACGCTAAAAGAGGAGGAAAGAGTTTACTAAGTGGGCCAATGAAAACACACCTTCCAAACATGTTATGTGGAGGCAAACAAACGTACAGGCATCATCCACCTTGCCAGTTATTCATCCAGGATAATCATCTAGCTAGCCTGACACAAAATAACGACACCATCCAACTGATTTCCTGCGTTTCACTCATGGTGGTAGTTTTGTTTTTATGAGCCATTACGTGGCTCTGCTCAGGAGGCTGCACAGAGGACACGGACCTGCTCGTTTATTATGATTAGGCGGCTGAGGAGCACAGCTAATCCAATAGGAGCTGGATATAAAAGATGTGAGCTGATATTGTGGGCAGCAGGTGTGGTTGCAGATGGGTGGCAGCAATAATAAAATCTACTAACCGTATGATAAATATGAAAAGGCAATAAAATAAGATGTGATGGGCCAATAAATAGAGGAGGCAGGTTCACAAAAGGACATTCAGTTATGAGGGCCAGTTTAAGACAGCCTCTGCTACTGCCTGACATATGACTCAATATCTGACTGTGAAGAAGCAATCGTCTCTATTATATAACTCGCTGTGGTCACACGGTCATGCTCCAGATATGAAATTCAAATTTCAGCTGGGATACTGTTCTCTGGCTGTCAAAACTCAATCCATATGTTTTTTTGTGCAACTTGTGCTTGTGGAGTTCCCACAAAAGCAGACGGGGGAAAAAATGTGGGAGTCATTTTTGAAGATGTAAAGATGTGAAGACACAAGAAGAATGAATAGATAGAAAGTAATCTATAGAGTTTTAGTTAGTGACATAAATAATAAACTTGAACTATATTGGTGACACCTTCCCCCACCCCAAAGCAAATCATTGAGAAGACTTTCAGTAGAAATAAATCAATCTAATCAGTTCATTTTCTTTGAGTCCAACTGAACATTTCTACCAAATGTAAAGGAAATTGACATATTGTGTTCACAAGAATGGAACCAACGTCGGACAACCAGAAAACATAATGGCCTCAAGAGTAAAGGATCGATTCTAAAATCCTATTAAGTGTCCAGGATAAGACAGCTCCCTCTTTAACCAGTCTCACACTCGCAACATAGAGATGAACGAGTAGCCACTGAGATGTAAACAGTATACGGAAAACTCAACCGTAATGCAAACAATAGAACACATAAGGATAATGAATAGATACCTGAGGTAGGACACTGTTGGAAGACTGTATAGTGGTATTCTCATCTGTGGAGACAGAGAACATAGAGTTAGGACAATGACAGATTATCTCCACAGTTCAATTACTCAACATAACTTCAGCAGTTGTGATTGTCAGGAGAGAAAATGTGAAAGTGATGTAGAATTAGATTGTGTATTATGCATGGAGACATTATCGGCCCACAAGTCAGACAGACTTTAGATTTATCTTCCTGCCATTTAAACTTTACTGCGTGTGCCGACATGATAAAGCAGTTTAAAGAGAAACAGGCAGAAAACGAATCGTCCAACTCTTCTATCAAACTGAAAAGAAGACGGCGGCGTCTTTCCCCTAATGGCATCGTTTATCCACACAGGGGAGGCTTGATGACATCAGCCATCAAACTCCAAGCCTTCAGCTCAGTGACGTTTTTCTACTGGTGCTGGTGAAGCTGAGTAGTGGAGGGCCCAAGGGGACGCTATTAAAACCACTACATTAACAGCTAGGGATCAAAATGGCCTCCTAATTTAATCCCATTTAATCCAATTACATGCTGTGCCATTCACCGGCCACAACTGAGGAGGGTCTGCTCTTGTACAGCACAGGCAGTCGTGGTGAGGTTGACAGTGTGCATGGGCTCCGCTGATGATCGGGATGGAAGAGTATCGAGGCTCAGGAAGCAATTTTTTAAAGATTTTGGAAAATGGACCTTAGATTTACGGGCATATCCCTCATAAAGTTTAAGATCTCATGCACACACAAATAACACTTTTTTAAAACCTGACCCATTTAATAGTTATTATTGTTTATTATTTATATTATTGACAATTTAAGAATTATTGCAATATTCTTTTCAATTCTAAATATATCTGCCAATGACAGAATTGGTCATTTTTGACTCCTAAAACATTTGGCTCAGGCTCTAGACTTTTTCATACACTACTTCCCTTCTTAAGCGTGACATTAAAGCCCACTATTACCTTTGTGTGAGTGGTACTCCTGGCTGGGCGGTGGGACTTTGGTCTGTGCAGTCAGCAACAACTCATACGTGTGATCCTCCTCCACCGGCTCGCCTCTTTCATCAATGCTGCTGTTAGTATACAGCGCCTGCAGTAAAATATACAAAGAGAGCAGAGGAAAGGATGACGTTAAGGGAAGAAGGTGACAGTCATTTCTCATTCAAGTGTTCACAGAGACGGTTTTATGTAAGATCCAAATGTGTCCTTCAGTGAGGAAAAAGCAAAGATGAGGAAAAGTTTTTGTATGAAATCACTTCCTCAAAGTTACTTCCACAATGAATCCTCTGTGGTCAGCCACAGTTAAGACCAGACAGATTCTTTTATTTTGTCCTCACTCCTTTTCCACTTCACTTCTCCTTTTACGCCCCCACTTCCATTAATAAGAGAGAAGAGAGAAATCCAGAGGTGACCGTCAACAGTCCCCTTGTCACTGTACAAACCCACCACGTCCAATGCCTTTGAAAATTATAACTATATATAACTGCTAGTGATACTATCCTGACCATTCATGCACTGCTACAAATTGTACAAATGAATATCTGTAGTGTTATAGGTGCCAACACATTCTACTGGATTTAAGCTCTTGGTTCCTCACCTCTGAGCTCACCTCCTCTTCATGACCAGGACCAGGATGTGATGTGTGGACATGACGATCTTTCTAGAAATGATAAAGAATATCATTTCTAATAAATGTATGATTGCTACTTGTGTCCTTATTACTTCAATGCAAGAGCAAGGCTCAGATATGCAATGCAAAGTCCCCGTGCACCACAGAGCAGAGTGTAATGCTGGAGGGGTTTAGTAGCCCAGCTGTGCTGCCAGAGGAACACTATCACCCTCTAGTGGGAGATCAGTATTCTATCTCCCATAAACCCCTGAGATGAGCTACCCATTCTAGTGTGTGTGTGTGTGTGTGTGTGTGTGTGTGTGTGTGTGTGTTAAACCTCTGCTGACCTTGCCAGCTTCACTATCCGGCCGTCCAGAGTCTCTGTCAGAGGACTTGCCGCTGGTGAGGCTGTCCAGAGAGTGACAGGAGGTGGCTTCAAACAGAGCCTCGTATGGGCTCTCCTCCTCGGGCCCCAGGGTCAGCCCCGAGATCAACTCACTCACCTTCTCCAGATCACCTAGGTCCAAATATACACAGACACACAGAGTTTTTAGCTGAAAAATCAAAGATAACTCTGTTGTTTTTTCTTATCCATTGTTTCCTGTTTTATTTGCTGACTGAATTGTTGCTACCGCAGTTTAACCACTTTTTCCAGTCTTACCCTTTTTGCGTGGGCTTGGACTCTCCTGAGGCGGCGGTATCGGTGGAGGGGGGAGGTCAATGTCAGGGGGTTTCCCAGTCATGTGACCTACAAAAAGACAAGCAGGAGATTGTACCACAGCTGGCAGATGTAAAATCAAGAGGACGCTTCCTTCCACAGCTCTGTGTTTTCACATTTACCTAAAATTAGAGCAACTATTTGTCTGCTCTTCTGGGAGGGCATGTCCTTGACAGTGTCCAGCGCTGACAGGCCCTTCTGGTCAACGATGTTCACGTCGATACCTGGAGAATCACGACAAGTATAGTTAATGGAGACAAAAGCCAAGTGTCGTGAGGGGATTTTTGCTGAATAATTTATTGTGGCACTGAGGTCTGACCTGCACTGAGAAGTTTCTGCACCACATCCGCCTTCCCAAACAAGGCCGCTTCATGGAGGGCGCTGCCTTTCTCCGTCTGAGCAGAAAAAAGAAACCACAAGCATTAAGCCAGAGGCAAAGAGAGAGCTGGGACAAAGTGAGGACACTGATCTGGATATAATTATTTGTCTCTATATATCGGCCCTGTGTTACACTGGCGACTTGTCCAGGGTGTAAACCCGTCACTTGTCCAATGTCAGCAGGGAGTGATCCAGTGTGACCCTCAAGGGATAGGTGGTACCTGTAACAATCTTGTTTCAGCTACGTCACTATGACGGACGGTGTAGAGCAACTACTGAGTTTATGCCCACCGGCTGGTCCACTTCTCTACTGAAAATGATGTGGCTGAGGAATCAAAGTGGATCATTTCGCAGTTCACAGGGCCATGCTAATTGAAACCTGTGGGGTGTAAGGCCTGAAGGACGCTGGATAGATACCCCATCCTTGACTCTGAGAAAAGTAGGGCGAAGTAAAAGGGGAAAGTCTCTCCAGACAGATGGATGGCACAGTTTGGTGCAGTGTCAGAGCCACAGGGTCTAACCAGTGGGAGCAAGGCTGGCTATGCTTAGATATCACATCAGTTCCTTTGCAAACTGAGAGCTTAAGAGTTTTATATTTAACCTGGTAGGGTTAGTAGGAAGTAGTGAGAGGAAGTCGTGCAAGACCAGATTAGGTAACACAACATGATTTGTGCCATTACAGAACATTAAGAAACACATGCATGCTGAAGCTTTTAGCTCCACACACATACTGTATACACACATATAGATCAAAGCAACACTAGGTGGTTTTTATATATTAAAACAACAGCTTCAAAATAATTTTTACAGCTAATACACAAACTTATAACAGGGCGAATAGCATGTCTGTCATTGCCACAGTGCTCCCTGGAGGCCTGGAACTGCAGTAGACTCTAGTAAACCGTGCTGGAACATAACGACCTGCTTTTTGGCATACGTCACAGACCAACCAGAATATTGGAGCATATTTCATACCTCATAGTTGATGTCCATGCCGGCGTCCAGCAGCACCTCCACCACAGACAGGTGTCCATTCCTAGAGGCCAGGTGAAGTGGTGTGTGTTTCTTGGTGTTACAGCTGAGCAGGTTGGGGTGGGCACAGAGCAGCAGCTTGACCACCTCCAAGCGCCCATAGAGAGCCGCCAGGTCCAGTGGGGTCTCGAACTTGTTGTTCCTCATGGTGGGATCCGTCAACTCCTCTAGCAACAGCCGCACCACCTGGAAGTGGCCGTACTGGGCAGCACAATGCAGCGGCGTCTCGTTGTCATTGTTCTGTTCAAGGGAGGGGGGGCAGATAGACGAGTGAGAGGCGGCACAGGAAAGAAACGCAGCAAACAAAACAATAACTAGATGTAAGTAATGAAAAAAGGAAGGGTCATAGTTTGATGAAGGAGGAGGAATAAGTGTCTCAGAGGAGTCATTGGGAGGGTCAACCAATCAGTGCAGATATACAGCCCACCACATTAGAAGGTTAAAAGGTCATAAAAAGCACCAACCACAGTGAAACACATAGTGAGGCCTGAGGGGGAGGTATCTGGCAGAGTGGGACTCTGGCTCGGCCTGAGTGGAGGACTGGCAGACATGCGTGGACTAATGAGGGCAGGTGTTGGGGGCTGCGCTAAGCACCACGGGCAACGGGGCGCTAGCAGAGGGGCAGAGGCACCGAGGCAGGCGGAGAATTAGCAGACATGGGTCAAGAACAGCAGTGGTGTTGTGTAGTTACAAAGAGTGAGACTGGTGTTCATTATTCTCCTCCTGTCACGTTGGAGCGTCACATCCATGAAGCACAACTGTCGTTCATCGCTGGTCCCTGCACACCAACAACAACAACCATGGTAGATTTCACGTGTGTGGAATATTGATGACTGCTGCACAGAGGCCTGAACTGTTGAGTTAAGATTTAAAAGTGTCATTAAGACTTTTTTCTATTAATTATTATTTTCTTCATGAATTATTCCCAACGCAATTTCCAAACCCCCAGATCTCCTGATTTGTCTGATCAACAATCCAAAACACAAATAAAAACAATTTACTAAATGTAAAAAAAACTGCATATCATCATATTTAAAAAAGCTGGAGAATATTCTGCATTTTTCTCAATTAATGACTGAAGACTTCAACAATTAATTGATTGTAAAAACTGTTGCCTGTTAATGTACAGTCAAAAAACAAATCTAGGAATAAGACAATTGTATAAAAACTTATCAACAGCCAGTAAACAACTGGTGTTCTTCATATTCAAAGCGACAAATCATCCAGAGCAAAGAATAGTCTCATCTCTGCAGCGTGACAGTTTTCCTACAGTGCAGATTTTTTATCTGAAAACAAGCGAACACATGAGCCGACGAAGCAGCAACAAAAAAAAGCAGTAATTAGAGCGTTAACTCTGTAAGTGGTGCTTATTGGATCTAATGACTCTCATTCAACAACAAGATCAATGCCTGAACAGACCTGAGATCCTCCAGCAGTGTTGATGACCTCTACCATGAAGAGCCAGCAGGGGGCAGACCCTGCAGCCCTGGAGCTTAAGTAAGGTGATGGCATTGGGAATACTCATAACAACAACATGGATATGGGGGGGGGGGGGCAGAAGCAGACTTCAGAAAAACATACAGGAAAAAACCACTATGCTACTTTTAGTGGAAAGTATTAGGTGCATATGTCGCTGCTCTTAACCGCTGAAGGTGACAAAACTGCAAACATGATGTAAACAAAGGCTGAATAACCCCACAGCTCCTCTAAAGCACTTTGTGACAGAAACATCAGCCATTGTGGAACCACATGCTCCGAGAGTCAGTCATTCCAGACGCATAGAGGCACCTACAAAGGGCCGACAGCTGGCACGAGAAGCCTCCACTCCCCCTTCTAACATGGACATGCATGATGCCAGGTCGGGCGCCTCCCACAGTAACATGCCAGCTGTGCCACAGAGGACAGGGGATCATGGTGCGGACGGGGGCAACGGAGCAGATTTAGACAGGTGTCAGTCAGCCCTTTCACAAAGATCTGGGACCAGATGGGATCAGCAGGTATCTCCTTCATTGTTACAGAGAGAGAGAGTATTGTGCTCGTACTGGCAGAGCAGGTTGCAGCTTGATCCGAGAGAAGAGGTGGAGCTTAGGGACGCAAAAACAGGACAACTGCCTGTCAAAGGAGAAAGCACAGAGGCTGAAAGAAAAAAGACAGACGACAACTCCTCTGGGGGGAAATCCACTGAGCTAAACAAATAGAACAAAGGTTTTAAAACATTTTTTTTCTGAGGACTGCCGTCAGATTTTGATTTATGGGAAATCAGGTCGACTGACTGAGCAAATTCCCGTCTTAAAATAATTTTATCGCAGAGCTTTACATGACTTTACCTTAAATCTAATCATTGTTTTCACTCAGCTCTGTATATGTGGACAAAATAACTCAACAATGCAAGGATGCTTTTCCCCCAAACTTGGTGCTAATATTACTCTGAAAATCACATTACAAATAAAGATTATTATCATTATTTTTCGGAGGAACAGTAGTAGAGGTAATAATAGTAGAAGAAATGTGTTTGATTTGTTATCAGGATACTTGTTCCTCTTCTCTACAGTCCTTGAGTCAAAGCTAAATCGCATGTACACACACACGTGAAAAATCCAAATAAACCAACTCTAGATGGATTGAAAGTTTGTAAATGTGTGTATTCGTGACAGATGAAGTATTTGTGTGCAACGGCCTGATACTTTGAACAGAGTGCTTATGATCATGTTAATAGTGTCGCTCTTGCCAGTGTGGTGGTCAGTGCTAGGTCGTGATGTGTCAGCCAGCATCTGATCTTATTAAACACGGCTGAACAGCCGCTTGACCCACAGACAGGAATCAAGCAGACGTGTGACACCCAGCCTGGCCCCGCCTCTTCTATTGCAAGGTATGCTAGGCATGTACCTCGCACAGGCGCCTTCCACTGAGGTGAAGTACCCAACACCTCCACGACCTGTGTTTTCACTTTATTGTACACTTATAAATGTGAAAATATAATCCTTCCAACTGGGGACAGACCAGGAGCATCTTTAGATTTAAGAACCAACTTTTGCTTTTAACATTGAACCTTTTTAAAACTATTATTAGTTAGAAAGCCCAGCAGGATAGAAACAAATCCAAACTTAGTATTATATGTTATACTAAAAGATTTTCAATGCAACATTCTTGCATAAGAAAGGCACCGTGAGGAGATTCCACATGAAATCCCACGACATGAAGACCAGGATCAGCCTCGTCTCCACTGTAACACCACGTGCCGCATGAGCAGTCAAACAATGTACCAACAAGACAGAGCTCTGAGGGCTTTTAGGCAAAATGGCACCAATGACTCAAGGCCTAGCTGGGAAAAAGATTAGAATTCATATGATGCAGCCAAGGCTTCCTGGACAGTCCATGTTTTTATGGAAATCCTGTCCTTACTGTGGCGTCGCAGGCGGTATAAAACCTCATCCTGATTTAGACCTCAGCTCAGTGCATGTCAAACGAGAACAGATTAAGATCTCCACTGGCGTCTGCTGATGATTGATAAACGCTGCCTTAACCAGCAACATCTGGAGATTACACTGCATTGTGTTGTCATGCTGCACAATATTCTGACAGGGGCAAAGAGGTAAAACAGCGGCAGAGAGAGAGAGAGATAGAGAAAACCGAGGATGTTACAATTCTCACAACCTGAAGCTGGGAGATGGTAACACGGTTTGACTGGCGACCTCTGTCACGTGATACGCTGGCTGGCAGCAGAGCGAGGCAGCGGTTACGTCATCCTCGCCTCCGGTAGTGGTTGTAGTAGCAGCGGTGGGTGGTAGTGGTGGTGAAGGGGTGGGCAGAGCAGCTGTTGCAGCCAGTGTGCCAAAGGCCTCCCCGTGCTCGCTGCCTGCTCCCCGTGCTCCACCTCATCTGTAATCCCACCAGTTTGTGTGCATTCATATAAATAATAGATCTCACACACGCACGCAAGAGGGTTTTCTGACATTTTCCATTTGTGAGATTAATAAACAAATATTTGGATTATTATTTTACTATTTAAGATAAATCTCGATTCTAAAACCAAGCATTGTTAAATTACTATTTTATACAGATGGGTGTTTGTGTTGATGTATGTGTCAACAATTCTAACTTCTCCCATCAATACATATTTGATATTACTATAAATGTGTTTTACTATATTATCTGTCCAAGCCTCCAATTAACGGTGCTCACAGGAGGTGTTACAGCTGTTGATAACATCAATGACCAAATATATCTGCTTATATCTACATATAACAAAGTTATAAACACATTACATGTTTAGATGTGAACGTTGCATGGGGGGTTCACACGTTTGTATACATGTTTTTAATGTATTTGCAAATGCTGAAGGAAGTGAATGAATTGATCAGTCAATGCAGTGAATATATATATATATATATATATCATTTCACTGTCAAAGGTTTTTATTGAAGAACAATGCAGAATGTTTCTTGGTTTCCAGTGTAACTTTAAACTGCTTTTCTCTCTTTGGTATTTTGAATTCAATATATTTTTGTTGTTAGCAGCATCGCCTTGTTCTTTAGGAAAGTGAGTTAATGTTTATGTTAATGTCTGTTTCTCAACATTTGTCGTTGACCCAAATTCCAACTGTATTTTGCAATAAAAGCAGAGAAACCGTAACGTAAATGCTGACTCTAATTATAGATTTTTGCTTGGACACCGTCACGCATTCCACAGTAACCAGACCTTGCAGTCCTGTAATGAAATGACTGTCTGACTGGCTTCCGGCCATAGATTGTGAATCTCTGTACAGCCAACTCTCTCCCTCTCTTTTACAGTAAAGATAAATTTTACTCTTCATATTCCTTCACTGGTGCGACCGGTCCAACGTGTACCCCGCCTCTCGACCAATGACAGCTCCAGTCCCATGGCGGCCCTCAGAGGACAAGGGCCACAGTTAACTGATGGATACTCAGCTTGATTAAATTGGACACACTTTCCCAACATAATTTAAAGGCCTTGAAGTAGACGATTTACTGCAGAGCAGCTCTGCTCTGAATCTCTTCTCATCCAGGGAGAATTGGCTGTTACCAACATAAGAGTCGTCCTAAAATGTGCACAGATGAAAGACAGTGAGAATAAATTCTGATCCATCTTTTAAATAACAACACGTCCCCCTGAGCGCTCCGACCACTTCTTGGCACAACATTTGTGGAGGATGAGCAGAGAGCAGAAGGTAAAGGGGGGGGGGGCTATGATGATGTGTTGTAGAGGGAAGAGCTGGACACTGAGGTGACACACAGATAAATGAGCACGCTGGCAGACTGTGAGCAATGTGCCTGCAGGAAAGAAGGGAAACTCTGCTCCACTTGATAATGAGGTGACCGAACAAACGACTTCTGGTGCTGCCATCAGAAACTTTTGCCCACATGTCTGAGATGCTGCACTGAGAAAGATGCACGACCCATCCATCTTTAACAATTCACCTCTATTTCTATTTTGACTTTTCTCGAGCAGCAGTTTGAATTTGTCCGGGGTAGTGTACAGTGCATGATGCCGTCTGGGTTCACGTTGATGGCAGAGAGTCTTAACATCTGAGCCTGGGTAAGAGGATCTCATCTGAACACATATTGTATCAGACATGTGACCTATATAGGAAGATGAAGCCTGGGTGAAAGGGCTACGGCTTGTTATGAAGTAATAAACAGAAATATGGTAATTAACAGAAATTAGGTCAATAAAAACATTAATAACCAGCAGTTGCTCCTGGAAACTGGATTTGTATGTATTTTTCTCATATTAACTTTTATGCATAATTTTTAATTGTGGTTCATGTTTTTTTGCTGAAAGCTTCATTCTAAAGGTTTTAGTCACATTTTTAGTTTTATTAATTTCCTTTGCCATTGTTCCTTAGAGATCATCCTTAATAAACAATAACATTTGGCAGCTATGAGTGGTAAGAAGCCCACTCGTCCAATCAAAGTCTGAAGATATTTTATTTAAAATGGCCTAAAATCCTCACATTTGTGTGCCTGGAATGATTCTACTTATCAATAGAATGATATTAACATTCTCCAATTGAACTTATTCAAATTTGATGATCTTGTGCTTTTTCATGCTGTTAAAACATTTATCAATTCTGTATATTTCATAGTCTAACAGAAGAATTGATTAGCCTAGGATTTGATTCTCAGATTAATCCACAACAAAAAGTTAATCTTTAGCTACAGTCTTAATTAAATAAATCAAAATAGTTATTATTATTTTTTAGCGCCTAAGTCTACGCTTGTTTTTAAGTCAAATTCAGGAAGAGTTTTCAGATGCAGTGGTCAGTGGAGGTCAGATCCTCTGGTTGGTGGTTAATCCTCCCTTATTGAGGCATGTGAAGCATCATCAAAGTAACCAGCTCTCCCTGGACACAATGAGTGAGAGAGCACAGAGGTGAAATGAATAAACATGAGTCTGACTGGCTTCCTGGACCAGGATGAGAGAGAACTGGATCCGGTCCAGACTGATTCCTTGAGTGTCCCTGATGGGGACCACTGAAGCCTTATCACACACCTTTCATGTCTGACAAGCTCACTCCGCTCAAACACCACATGTCTCCACTGGGGAAACTCACCAACACTGTACGGCCAATAAGCCGTGACACTGTTACTATGACAACGTCACCTCTTCCTCTCTCGAGCGAAGCAAGTTCAGGAGCACAAACTGGGAGGAGGAGGAGGAGGAGGAGGAGGAGGAGCAAATTCACCCATTTACACACTCAAAGCATGGACATCTCTTTGATGCTGATGCAAAGAGACCGGTGCGGCAAAAAAAAAACTCCCATCCTCCTCATGAGAAGAGGCGCTCTGCACCCCGCCCACCCAGTCACATGATGCCATCAACCATGACCACAACCAGGGCCAGAGGCTCCACACCGCATCCACGATTTTGTTTTATTCATAACAGGGCATCAATTATTCAGGCCCATAACCAGGTAGGGGCTCCCGAACTATCCTGAAAGTGTTTGCATTAAGATATCATTCACAACGAACCACAAGAGTCAATATGAAACGCCTCAAATAGACTAAATGAAAAGAGACAAACGCAGCCACTGCAGGAAACTTTAACACATGTATGTATAAATTATTAAATTATCTGATCGTATTTCTCTTTTAGTTTTGTTTCAACTTTAAGGAGTCACATATTTTTTTCATATTTGAAATAATTATTAGTTCCATTTCAAACATGCTCTGAACTCAGCATATTGTCCTAAAATTTAAGAGGCTATATGTGAGAATGCAGATGTGTGAGTCAGCTGCTCTCTATATTTTCAGGAACTTTTCCTGCCAGTCCCCCAGAAAAACTTCCTCAAAATTTACCGTAAGAGAGTGAATGTTGTTGATGATGCAAAACTGAACAAAAAACCCCCAAAAGTATAAATAGGTCTCAGGGATGAAAGAGAGAAGTCAAACACATAGAAGAATCACTAAGATGTCAACTTTGAAAGACAACAAGATCCGAGAGCTTATGGTGATAATATTTTCATGTCTGAAAACAGATTTTTATGACAACCTACTTCCATATTGGAAAGAAATTTTATCTCATCACACGTCTGCCTCTTAATTTCTTTTTTAATTTAAGGAATTATATATTTTATTCTTTGAAACAATGTCTTTGAAATAATACAGTAGAACTGAACACTTAATCAGACGAAAATGAACTGACTTCAACTAAATTGTATTAATCACAGTATCCTGCAGCCAACAATCAGGATTTATAGAAGACTTCCTGTAAGCTACCCCATCGTTCAACCTTCCACTGTTGATTTTCTAATACGGTAATGGGTGTCGGAGTTTTAATTAAGAGAGCGGTTTGAATCAGTCAATATTTTCTCCTCCTGCAGCCAAAGACTTTGGTGACTGAGGCTGCATATTACACCAGTTTTCACTTAATGTTCACTGAATTTTTCCTCAACCAGAGGAGAAGAGCTCCAACACACAAACTCGAAAGTCACCTACTGGGACACGGAGGCATTAACGAAAACTTTCTAGGGCATTTCCATCCAGAGCCCAGTTTATTCCTGACCCTGATCAAAAAGGCTGCAACAAGAGTGTTGTAACATGTGATGGGAAGATTAACATCGGTGGAGGGCATGCTGTAAATGCAGTGTCACTTACGTCAAACATAACAATTTAGAGATCACAAGCAAACATGAGTAGAGAGCCAGAGGACAGAGATGTACTGATAGCCAGGGAAATTAAAAGCCTCCCCCATATCTCCAGAACAGCAGCAAGCAGCAACAGACCAAACCCAAGCACATCAAGCCAACACAGCAGTAAAGCGAAGGAGCACGTCAAAAAGGAAATTGTTGTTTCTGCAGCACTGTGTACACACCTTGGCATTAATATAGGGGTCAAAGGGCCCACAGCGTTTGAACTCTTTATGGTCTAGAGAGCTCTGGGAGGGAGAAAGAGAAGAAAGGCTGATGGCTTCTGTTCAGACAAGCGATGAACGAACGAATGATGATCACAAATGAGTGCAACTAAAGGAAAATGGGAACTTAAAAAAAATCAGATTTGAGTTAATGAACAGTCAGATGTCATGAACAGGCAGTGAGAGATGACACAAAATGAGACAGACACCTTTTTAATCTACTTTTTGTTAAATCTCAGATTGGCCTGTTATGGTTTTAATTTCTGATGCTCATCATGGGTCATTTCTCCTCATCACAAATGGGACAAGCTGGAGAGTTTGGAAGCAACCAAACTAAAAATCAAACACATGAGTTAAAACAGTTAAAATGGTTAGAGCAAACAAGCACTTATCACACTGACATGGCGTCAATGCTTCAAACTGAGGAGTCACGGTAAACTTCACAAAGCGCTGAGTTTAATGCACACTTCCTCTTTCAAATATAAAGCAAGCCATGCTAAAGTAGAATTAACAGCAAAACATTTAACTGTGCTTTTAGTTGCTAAAAATATATCCTTCCTCCTTACCAAAAAAACAAAATCAACTTCTTTAATTCCCTGACTAAACCATATGAACTGTCATAATGAAAGTTCAAGAGGTGGACAAATCTGCTGAAAAGCTGAACTTAAACGTCTTTAAAAGAAGAACCTTCCACAAAGTGCTAATGTGTCAGTCACACAGGCTCAGTTCAGACCTGGTGTTCACATCTGCCCCGAGAGTCTCCTGTGACCACTTGTCATCAGATCTCACTTCCCTGCTCTATATGGAAATAAACAAGTAATTTCTGTTTGCTGTTAAGTTTGAGTTTGCAGACGAGTCCTGTGTCACTGTGTCTGTGTGTCAGCGTGTGGGTGTGAGAGATGTCGCCAGAGAGAGGTGTCAGGAGAGGGAGTGAATCTGAAAGAAAGATTTTATCAATTTGAGAAGTTTCAACCATGCAGTGTTCAGTGTGGTGGTATTGTGGTGGTGGCTACAAACAGCTTCACATATGGGCAATAAGAAATTGAAACATTTATGAAACTGTAGTGGGTCAGATCTAAGACCTCCTCCACATGTGGTCTGAGTGATCGGATCTCGACCCACTTGGCCTTAACCAGACCACCTGTGATCGGATCCCTCAGCACGGACGTTAATACCAGGTCTGAACGGGGTCACTGGCTCTAAACAAGCTGAGGAACAAATCATTGACGTCAATTCTCACATATTATCATCAAATAAAAATGTGTTTGAAAACCCAAAACCAGAACTGCAGTAGTCAAATCAGATACACACACACACAAGCATAAAAGAGAAAACGCTGTGCCTGACCTGCTCGTTGAGCTTAGGGTTTGACGGTCCTTGGTGAATGAGCAGCTTGACAATATGTTCGTCCCCCTTCCACGCTGCCAGATGGAGCGGGTAGCAGCCCTTGTTGTCGGCGATGTTAGTCGAGGCCTCGTTTCGTAGCAGCGCCTCCACCACTTCGCTGCGGATCAATCGAGGGACAACGTGGGTCAGAGAATGGCAGGAGTTTAAACCACACTAATAAATACACACTCGTCCTTGACAAACACTCAATCAATAGCTTTAGTTTCCCCCGTGGGACAATTGTGTGTGAGGGCAGAGCTCATTCAATGTAGAACATAATGAGACGCTGCACAGTCATTTCTTCAATTCTCCAATTCCCAACAGTTATTTATCACTGATCTACCTGTGTCCATTCAGGGCAGCGTGGTGGAGGGGGGTGTATCCAGTGCTGTCCACACAATTCACATTGGAGCCTCTCCAGATACTGTTGAGAGGAGAGACGATTGTTATTTTGGTTCCATAACAGACTCAAACACACACACACCAAATAAACAGTGCCTATCCCTGTGTACAGTCTCTACTTGTAGGTGTGACTGATCACTATCTCAGCGGCTCGTTCGCATTACACAGCCCAACCTCCTGCCAGACGACAGGGATATGAAAACATGGGGCCGGGAACAGCAGCAGCATCGACTGGGAGGAACCAGGAAGGACAAGAAACACCAATACCACAGAGCAGCAGCTACGGTGAGCTAATTTTATCTAGTTATGCAGATATGCAACCCAAGCCTGATCGTTCTGAGCCAAGCACTGAATTAGAATGGGCTTTGTGTCATGCAGCATAAGAAACAACAAACAAAGCTCTGAGGCCGAGCCAAAAACAAGCAGCGGAGGGGTAAAGTGTAAAGCTGGCCCAGCATCAGCCCGGCACTCTCATCCACTTGAGCTGAACTCGAGCTGTCAGCTCAGATTGGCTTGTTTCTTTTAATTCACAAACAGCTCTGTGGTGAAGGCGGAAGAGAGCGGCGATGGGGGGGCGGGGGTTAAGAGAGATGGAATGAGTAATTCAAGAAGCTGAAGGATGTCTGGTGAGACTGAGTGCCAGGCCGGGGATGTGAGGCTCTCTGAAAGACCTTAACACATCCTAAATAAATCATTCGATGTGGAAATCCCAACACTAGTGAACCAAATATCTAAAACCAGGGTCTGAAAACAACGGGAGCAAAGCAGTCGGGCCTCACACAGAATCCAACATGAATGGAAAAGAAATATATTTTTCTTTTTTTAGAATCTATTTACTTAGCTTTTGATATATTATAGAAAATTGTCTTAAAAACCAACGAAAGAGACTGATTTGGCAGCAGGAAGAATTCATTAATTATTACTGGCTTAAATTTTAATGCAAGCAAGAAAAACTTCTATGATTGAAGCGTTTGGAGAGAGCTCTGCTGGGAGGACGAACAGCATCAGAGGCTATTAGCTGGGGAAAAAACAACAGCTCCAGCAGCAGAACACACTCACAGACACAGTATGAATTGATCCGTGATGTAATCGGTGTAGAAGGTGTGGCAGCAGCATGCTCGGCCTCCTCGCATCAGCTTCAGTGCAACTCTTGTGACTTTGCCTCACTCGGTTTTGTCGCAGTAATGGCCATTTTGCCTCCCCTCCCCTAAAATACATCTCCCATAATAGCTCTCAGAGCAGCCTGCAATTACACAGTCAGAGCTGTCTCATTAAATAAGTATCTCGGAGGGCTCCACAGCCTGCGGAACAATGGGCCTGACGGAGCACAGACACACAGGGATGCACCACTCTCCTAGTCATAACCTAAGCCGTTTATTTCTTACAGCAAACCCCCCCCCCCATCTCTTAACCGACTCAGGGAGCCATGAAGACATGAGACATCAAACGCAGGGTGAGCTCAAAGGAAACACTACAGTGGGAAAACGTGGAGGAAGGAAATGCTGGGGATTGATGCGTTTCACTTCAAATAACTGTGAGTTCAGATCATGTCAGCTCGTAAGGAGTCATACGTGCACACTTCCTCTCTGTTCCTCCTCTGGACCAGCAACCAAATTCGTAGTAAAGAGGGAGGCAGCCCTGGCTTGCATGTGCATGGCCGCTGAACACATCAAAGTGGAAAACGGAGACAGAAACAGACCTTTCGTTGCTGTCCCAGATAAAGGAGTTATGTAACGGCTTACAGCAAAACCCCCACATACACAAATTAACATAAACACGAACAGCAGCAACGGCGACTTTAGAATTCAACAAAATCAGGCATGGGGCAGTAATGATTATCTGAGTAATGCAAGGAGGCATGCCATGGGGTCAGGCATATAATTAACATGGCTGTGATTTTATTGCAGTGATTGTCATATCATGCAAGTGAGCATCAGGACGTTTACTGTTACACTACGGTGGAAATGTGAAGTTTTCATCTTGTTTTATTTTAGACAATCAACTGCTTAGTCATGCGAGATAAACCTCCAGATGTATCACAAGATAAATTCCATGACGTCTCTTTCCTATTCTGATTGTAGAGAAGTCCAGAATAAAGGGTCAGATTTACGCTGCGTTTGACACTGGACAGTCTCAGCAGTTATGACACAGATGTGACATTGCCAGAAGTTCCACAAATGCCACTCAGAAACACAAACACTCACTGTCACATCAGCCCAATGATCAATGAAACCTCAACAGGGGTGAAAAGCATCACAAAGCACAATAATACGCAACTCTGTGGTTTTTCCGTAATATTAGGGCTCTAATCAGACACACGGGTGTTAATTAATCCTATCAAAATGATCTCCATGTAGAGGAAATGAAGCTGTCTGCCTCTCTACTGTCATACCATTTAAATGTGCTTTAAGCAGGGCTGCCTGTAGCAGCAGCTTTAAGTGAAGTCAGAAAGTGTTACGTCCTCTCTGCATTTTGGCAGCATGGCACTCAAGGGCATGAGTCAGAGTGGTGCTCGACAATCCACTTCATCCTCTTACTACGGCTCACAACCAACCTATCTGGGGGCCGGGGCTTAGGCCCGGAGCGGGGCAATGGGCAAAACAGAGTTGATTTAGTTTGGGAGGGGGCACATTCATGGGAACTGACTGAGGAATTCCTGTTTGAAAAGCTGTGCTAATCCTTAATTTCCCTGAGGGAATATCAACGGGATGAAGCTGAAGTTTGAAAGAGATTCTGGGGGGCTGTAATTCTGTGTTGTGCTGTGTGTAGCCAGTGTGAGAGCAGGAAAGATAATAACATTCTCCCTCTTTTATACATTATCTACATTAGTTTGCTAATGTTAGTCACACATTGTGAATACAGCTATTTTAAACAGATGATTTACAAAATATGTTGGTTTAAACATTAATCTCCACTGGGTTTTTTTTCCTGAAGTTCAAATGTCATAGATCTCCCGCACATAACACTGCATTTTAGTATTAACTCAAATACCAACTCACTATGGGCTCCATTAGATGATGCACTTCCATCACATTTATATTGATAATATAATTCTCTCTCTGTCCATAGATGAGTAGTTCATTTGTGACCATTTGTGTATTTACCTCTGCCAAGGAGGAGATGTTTTCATGTTAGTGTGTTTGTCTGTTAGTTAGCAGCTTTACACAAACATTTCCAACAGATAACCACAAAACTTGGTGGAAGGATGCGGTTATGGGCCAGGGAACTGTGATCATGACACAACAAGCTGGATGTTACCAAATTAAGTGGATGTTTGAAACCAAATAAATATTCCAAATTCAATTCTAGAAGAAACACTGTTATGGTCATTAAAGTGCCTTTAATACCTGCTGTATCAAAACAAAAAAACTGTTTTTGTCTTCAAATTAAAAAATTGAGAAATGATGTGTCAGGCTGCACAGGGTTAAAATGTTATTCAGTTACCTTTCCTAATATAATGTAGAGGACTAATAGAGCCACTGCCTTCCAGAGCAGCTATTTTTGTGCCATTTATTCCGTTAGGCTTGAACATGTTGAATATTTTAGCAACAGCAGGTATTCAGAGTAAATGTTTGTATTTTAGCCATATGCCACAAACCCAAGATAATTCCACTGGAAATAAAAGCCATGATATACGATAACTTGTTTACTTGTGGAGCCCTGGGGAAAATTCAAGGCAAAATGCAGCAGTGAGTTTCAAATAAAAACCCAGGTGAGTGTGAATCCGGTGTCAAATAAACAGATTTGTCCTGCAGCCTATTAGCAGTGTGACCACACTGCCAGGGGATTACTCTCGCCCGGGGCACTGAGCCCAGCAGTGACTGGCGCATGTCAGCCACCGTGAGGGAAAATTGGGCTTAATTATGCATACGGCTGGCGGGTGCCGAAACCAGATGCCCTGCTGCCAAACCGCCAACCTGAGCATCTGCTCCTCAGCGGGAGAGAGTGAAGTACCTGCCAGAGTCCTGCAGGCCTGCTGAAGACTCCACTCACTGACTTAATGAGCTACATCTCCCTCAACATGCCAAGTTAGAACTACAACTGTAGTGAAGCAGTGCACGCTCATCACGGAGGCTGTGACAGGACAGATTAAAAGGATGACACATCTACAGTTGTGAAGCAGCATTACAAGTTAAGCAGAAACAGATATTGAAACAAACCTAAAATATATGACACAAGTCTATGACATGTCTTCAAACTACTAAAACGTTGATGTTTGTAAGTGATTATTTGTAGGCTAAAAGAAAATGTGTGATAAACCTTTCAACAACCCAAACATATGAACATTTAAAGGTACAGAAACCGCTCCAAGTAAATCTTGAAACAAAACTGAATGAAATAAAGCCAAAGAAATGGAAGCTCATTTGCCAATTCAGTCTTAACAAAACCTGATTGAGCCGTCGTGGCCTGGAAACGCACCATAATGAGCATCTGTGCTGCAGCAGGAGGTGTGAATAAACTGGGAACCCCCACAGTCTATGATGAGAGCAGTCCAATGAGCTCCAGCACAATCAAAGTGATGGGCATGAAAAAAACTAATCGCAGGATGAAAAGATGGAATTAATGTAGAAGAAAAGAAGAAAAGCGATCAGGAAGAATGAGATGGGACGGAAAAAACGAGGAAAACACTTTAAATCTCACCCTGTCTCAGAGAAGCTGCCATTTCCCACAAATTCACAGCAGACGACACTGCACGGCTACACAGATCTCACTTTGTCACACCAGCATTCGCTGAGCAACTTGCTTAGAAGAGCGAGTTGATATTCAGTACGTCTGACAGCCAACTTCTGGAAATGACATTTTTCTAAGTTTAATCATTTAACTTTTAAACTTGTATTTTTGTGAGTATGAAACAAAACAAATTCTGTATGAGATAAAATAAGAAAAGAAGCATTTCATGGTCACAGTCTGTTGTCAGTCTGCTTAGTCATGCTAAGGCTAACACAGCCCAGAGCATGCCTCTTTTATATGGTTTGCAGAAACAGCAGAGCAAAGGGGAAATTTAAAGTAAAAGATCTGGGCTTGATAGTTTCCTTCGTGAACAGACTGAGGGCAGTGCCATGAGTCTGTACAATGTGTTTGAAGTCTGGAGGTGTAGTGGAGGTGGGCTTGGGCCCAGCAGGTGGGCAACAAGGCTGCTGAGAGAGGCAGAGTGGGAGAGAAGGGAGACGACGCCAACCAGGAGGCCAGACAGACTGAAGTGTCTGGGTCTGGAGGCTGCAAACACATGTGGGACTGCACAGGACACGGAGGTCTGATGTCTCGGGTCAATGTGGTACTTTCCTCCTATTAGTTGGTTAAAAAAAATAGACGCCACACACGTAGATAAACCACAAGCTCAGCAGCCTTATCTTTTCGTCCGTTTGTTATTATAAGGTTTTCAGTGACTGGGGTGAAATAGAGTTCACATAAACAAGCACATAGAAGAGTCTGTACACATGTCTGTGTGTCTCTGTCCTGCTCACACATGAGCAACTTCCTTTTAATACAAGAAGCACAGTAAAATGGGAACTGTAAAAATAACAGTGACTTTTCTAAGAGACAAGAAAATATGGGAACTAAGGGAGCCTTAATTGTTAAGCACTTTACTATTAATAGGGTTATTAAAATAATGTAATTGTATAGTTATAATTGGGAACATTGCTTGGTTTTCCTACAAGATATATTTTCTACTTCCTACAACTCAAGGGCAACCATTTCCTCTGCAACCTAATCAAGAATCCCCTGACCCACTTGGATGAAAACTATTTTTAAACTAACACCATTAGGTTAAAATAAAAATGGACACTACATTTGTCAGTTTATGCTCCCTCCACACACACACACATATGTGGAATTCATCACTGCTACTAAGTGCTTGCTTTCTCAGACTACACAAACGGGCCGTAAACAAAATGTGCCGAGCAGAGCATCCCGAACTCAGATGCTCCAGGAATGCTAACAGAGTGGTGTTAGATTTCCCAGCTTCCACCGCTCCCTCCTGCGTTGAACCAGCTACAGTTTCTTTCAGTTCACAGGTCAACAACTGATGAAATGTGACTGCCAGGCCTGCTGCGTGCTAGCTTTGAGCTACCTAGTGGGGATCTGAGGATCTGGCCATTGCTGTAAAAGTGAGAGAAACCGCCTTGTTAACACTGTGGCTGCACATACAGCAGGGATCAACATTGATAGCTACTAGGAAACCGAGCCAGAAATGGTGGATGTAATGGGACGGAATGATCTGGAGTTGTGCCCGAGTCTCTTAAAATGCAAACCGAGCCATCACACTGATAGAAAGTCTTCCCTCCCTAGCGTTTAGAAAAGACAAAACATAATACAGAAACGACGATTCAAAAGGAATTCTTCATCGCAGCAATTTTGAGACCGCCTGACTTGTTTCAGCCGATATTAATGGCAAACATTAGCCTGAATCAGGCTTCTCTAAATAGGTGGTCCAAATGACAGCTCAATTTTCTTTGTAACTAAAGAGTATATAATGGTCTTTAGGGACTCATATGAATGTGAAAAGCCGCCATTCTGCGCTTTGTCAGCTGGACAAAGGACACGGCTGTGAATCTGGGAGACGAGTCCTCATCTGGCTAAGCTCTCAGAGCGTCTGTCCAGAACCCCGTGCATTCCTCCTGTTAAGTTCCCCTCAGTGGGCAGGCACTCTCCCTGCCAGGGACTTGTCTTACCTCCAGTCTGATTGGAGCAGTTGCCTGTGTTTGGACAACCTGGACCAGGAAGTGCTGCTGAAGAGCTCTTCCTGTACACCTCCAGGATCTAAACAGGTCATGGGACCAGCATATTGAGGTAAACAACCCCTCAAGTTCGCCCCGTGAGAGGCCACAATATGGACTTACCAATTCCAACACACAGTATTGGTACAAGCTATTGTAACCACCACTGCACGGTGGCACTATAAAAGCACAACCATGACCTTCCTACTTGAAGAGAAGCCCTGCCCAGCTCATTCTGGTGTTAATGGAGCACCACAGAACAAATGTTTGGGGCGGCGACAGTGTTAAACATGCAGGGGTCAGTGCCGATCCCATGGCAGCCGCCGGGATGCAGCCTCCTGGGAAAGCAGACATTCCGTAGAGCAGAGCTGTACAACTGCCTGGTTACAAAAACACAACAAGTCTTGACATGAGGCCCATTCCAGAGCAAGAACACTAAAAAAACCAGTAGAAACACACACAACATGCCTTCAAAGCATGGTGATGAAGGCCATTAGGTTTGATCGTTTATCTGGATGACCTGTGGTGGCCCACATAAGGCCTAACTTCCTGCTGTCACAACACAGCAGCAGAGAAAATCTAATTCAATGACTGTCTCTGGCTACAGAGCAAAATTGTGAAATAACACAGAAACGTTCCTACATGATGACTTTACAACCACAACAGGCTAAAAATCTGCTAAAGACAGCCGTCATCCCTACAGATCAAATCTCCTTTGACAGGATTACAAGTCTACACTTTCCAACTATGGATGATTAATAAGTTACAAAGACATTCTGGTAAAAAAGGAAAAAACACACACATACACACATAAACGCCCACAGCCACTGTAGTCATTCACTGTGAAGCTCTTAAACGTATATTGACATTTACATCATGCAAACTAAATCAAATGCAGACAATAACAACAAATCCCTGGGCGGCCCTGTGGTCAATAATCTCACAGCTTGTTATATTCTGAGTCTTTCCTCTAAACTCAGGTGTCAAGACGCAACATGGTCTGCTAGGTACAACCACCATTAGTCAATTCATTTCCAACAAAGACTGGCCAATAATTTCCTAGACTCAGCATTGCCTCACATTGATTGCTCAAATCCGAGCAGATGACACAAGGGCACTTCGGTCCGCCCACAGATCTGTTAGCAGAAGACAGATCCAGCATCGACTGTACAACATCACTGAATTGGATTCTGGATTTTTACAAGGGGTTTAATGTAATTACCTTGAATACACTGAACGATCCGCGCTGAGTAACACAGTGATGCATCACCTCGGACCACGTCATCACACTTGTCCCTCAGCAATACTCTGTTTTGATTGAGGGACGTTCACCTACATTTGCTCGGTACTACAATAAGGAGGCTTTTGACACACAGCTCTTACTGAGCATAAGTTTACCAGCTGCAGTTTGATTTTATGAATAAGGCAGACGTGAGTGGGCTCTGTCTCAACAATAACACTGTTAACATTGCATATAGCACGCTGGTTATCTCAGTTAAGGCTATGCTGTAAAACTGGAGCACATGCTTACTCTCTACAGCCCAGGGAAATTCAGCAATTGTGTTGTGGTAAGCCAATAACTCTGATAACATCAGCAGGACAAAATGAAACTCACAACTTATCAGATCAATTATATTCGGGCTGTGCATTAGAGGGAGGTCTGTCCAAGCTTTATCTTATTAATACAGTGAAGAATTTGATGCCATCTTAAATTACCAAAAACAGCACAGGACCATGGACTAGTCACAATTTGACCAAAGCCTCTTTCGATATGTCACAATCAGACTAGGGCTGGTGATGCTATGGCCATATCAGTCGATATTGATAATTATCACAATAAAAGTCACATTACTATTTAAGTGTATTAATATAAAAGTTATTTAAAGGGTTTACACTCTTCTTTATGGACAGAGAATAACAATAGCAAATCAGTTTACAGATCTGAGGTACAGTAGATCAATTTATGTGTTGTACCTCGTCACTGTCCTTGTACAATGTATAACCAATACATCAATGTACAATGAACCTTTCTTATACTGATATAGATGAAAATGAAATTATTCTAATTAAAATCACATTTTAATCTGAGTATACATAAACTGTGGTATGTGAGGAGGTGACAGATATTGTGTATTGACTGTACTTTGCTTTATTCTATGGAGATTAGTAATTATAAGGAGAAATGAGCAGGACAAAAAGAAAAAACCTCATGTGAGCAGCTAAACCTCTCTAACCTTCATGGTAGGTCCTTTTCATGATGTGAAACCCACATCAAATGCTAACCTCACCAAGGCCTTTGGTCTTTGAGGTAAATAGATGGTTAAAGGGATTTTTCTTTTTAAGCGGTACAGTAAAGCTTCTGACAACTGGATCTCTACTCCTCCTTCCCCACTGAGAGCTCTCAGGTCTAGACTGTGTGTAAGCTATTAATAATACATGTGCGCCCGTTTTTAAAGGGAGAAATCATGGGCTGCTTTATTGCACATTTCTCTAGTTAAATTGCACAATTGCCTTCTGGGCTGTTGGTGCACATTACAGTGAAGCTGGCAGGGACTGAGCTGCCTGGGAGCTAACAAAGAAGCATGGCTCTGCTCCTGCGAGGCTGGTTCGGTTTGTTTGTTTGGCAAATGCAAAATCATGACTGTGACTAACACTGATATGGGAAATATAACCAGCTGTAATAGTGAACGATCAGGGAATATTAGACGGGGAAGACATTGGCTCCCGGTCAGGTACACCCGCCTCTGCCTACCTGAGCAGACTGGAGAGCGTGTGAGAGGAGGCTCCGTGGCCGCCGCTGTTGCCACCTCCGCCGGTGCCGGACGACCCGCCGCCGATGCCCGCTGACTGTCGCTTCCCGGATAAAAGCTTCTCCACGGCGGCCAGGTTCCCCGTGCGCGCCGCTTCGAGGAGCTCCTGCTCCTTCCCCATCGCGGATCCCGGAGAGAAGTAGAAAAAAAAAAACCCGGAGGAGGCGCGGGGAAGAGAAGGAGAAGGGAAAGGGGGGAGGAGGGGGAGTCGGTTGCGGGAGTAAAATTCCTCTGCGATCCCGATGTCAAGTTATTCCTCACGGCTGCTGCTGGAGCTGGAGCTGGAGCTGCCGCCGCTGGATCCGTGAGTCCCGGTCCACGGTGCCGCCTCCGCTGCCGCTGGAGCTGCCGGGGAGAAAAGTTTGGTTCAGCCACACGGAACCAGCATCGAGTAAACTTCCTCTGACCAGTCCGCTGCGCCTCGTCCGTCACTTCCTTGAAACTGCCCTTTCTTCGTTCTGCTCAAACCTCAAACCCTCCACACACACTCACACACACACACACACACTCACACACACACACCAGCTAGATGGGTGAAAGTAAAATGGTGCCTGTGCTCCATAGACGCTCCTGCACCCATCCAGCTCTTTACAGATCTGTTCTACCACCACTCCTACTTTCCACATTTCCAAAACCTAATCTCTTTAACTTTGTGTCACTCATCTACGTCATCATCATTATTATTAAACTTGAAGTTTGAATGTATTCTTTAAAAAAAAATGCAGTCACTTAATTAACATGGTAGTAAGCAATGAGGGAAATAAAAAATAATTTAGCTCTTCAGATTTACACATGAGTGTAAACTGGGACATTTCATCACATGTTATCAGGTGACAATTAACAGTTTATCAGGAAAATTAACGGAAAACATCGAGGAAAACTGTAAAAGTTTAATATGTAGTGTGATGCAAATGTATTTACACGAATGTTTTACTAGATTATAGCAGAAATAAACTGTACGTTTCTTGTTTAGTGTTTATTTTTCACGTATTTGGCACAAGTAGTCCTCGTTGTTCCTGCTTGGTGTTAATAAAGTTCTTACAAAGCGGAAGCGGAAGTTAAGGGTACATGCTAACGAAAGTTAGCATTTTCGTTGCCACCGGTGCTCCCAGGCTTAGTCTGTGCTTGTAGTGAATTCGCGGTGTTCACAGAAGAGTCGCGTGTATTTGTGTGTATGTTTTAAAGCGTTAAACTGCGTAAACTAAATGTGTTTCGCTAACTAGCGCCAATCACCGAGGTAGTGTTAGCTTAGCTCCACTGTTAGCTTGGTTGTCGCTAATGCTTTGTTGACGCCTGGCTGCAGAGACGGTAGGTGCATCTTTTAGATGTTCATCCAGAGGTTTTATATATAAATGTCACAATTAACACCAGCTCTCAAACTATTTGTTCGTTGGGAGTTTGTAAACATGTCGTGCAACGTTTGTTGAGACTTGAGCTGGGCACTGAAGTTAAACTTAAATCTTATCCTTTGTCAAACTAGTGATTTATCATCCATGTCGTTGTCATTTCACAGAAAGTGAAGCTGCATCATGGCGGACCCTGCACGAATCAAATCTGATGACAAACCTGAGAGAACAACTTCTGCCGCAGAGGATCATTCTAAAGCAGAAGAAACCGAAGATGCAGCAAAACCCGCGCATGACAGCAAAGAGTCGTCCTCGCAAGATCAGTCCAAACAGGAGGTTAAAGCTGTGAGTTGTGCTGCTTCGTTTCTCTTATCACCAGAGGAAGAAATGGATTTCATATTAAAACACCTGTGGACCCTTCCTCTTATTACTAAATAGCTTCACACCACCTTAAGACACATTTGTTCACACTAGTGTCAATATGATGCTAGAATGGTTCCAATAAAAGAACACTACTACTACTACTACTACTAGTACTAGTACTACATTATCTCATTGTAAGTATTGAAATGACAACATTCTTTATATCCTGAGTTAGATAAACAATAATTATCTAATTTTCCATTCAACACAATTAGCTAAACACAATGTAAACATCTTACTTGTTAGATGTTGCTTTAGTACAAGCAGCCATACCAAACATTTTTAATGAATGAACAAACAAAAAGGCTAATTAGGTGTGGGGTGTGTGTGTGTGTGTGTGTGTGTGGTTTCACAAATGTCATCCCCTTGTTTTAAGTAGCTATAAATAATTTCATCTTCCTCTGTGAAGGAAACAGCAGCTGGAGAAGATGAGGAGGAAGGAACCTCCGGCCAGCCTTCTTCCAAAAGACTGAAGGTGGAACCAGAGAAGAAGAAGGAGAAACGTCTCAAGGTTGATGAGGATGAAATACAGAAGATGCAGTAAGATCAACATTTTAACTGAGCAGAACATTCTTCTAATTCTTGAAATTTGAACAAGCTTCTTTTTGCTAAACTTCACCATCACATTCTGCTCCTCCTGTTTTTCTAAGGGTTCTGGTTTCGTCCTTTTCTGAGGAGCAGCTGAATCGCTATGAGATGTACAGACGCTCGGCCTTCCCCAAGGCTGCTATCAAAAGGGTATGCTGTTAAAAACATTGACACATTGTTCTTAATTTATGAAATAATTTTACTAACTCATTATTATTATGACTCATTATCAGATTAACTCAGAAAAACTTCAGAAGTTTTTGAAAATGTTCTGAAATTCATCATCATGTCACCTATAGCACTCAACAGGTTTCACTTTGTGAAAATAAATCACAGACATCTCTATACTATCTAGATGAAGAACAGGAATGATCCATTATATCTAGAATACTGAATTGTTTCCAGTAGTAGTAGACTGCGATGCTGCAGACTGCCTTTAGTCACAGTGTGAAGTTACATCATGAGTGTAGTAATCTCAGCCGGCAGGCATCTCATCGAGGTCACGACCTGCCCTCAATGTCTGAAGTTGTGAGTTCAAATCCTGGTTCTTAACTCTGCTCATGTCTGTTCAAGCAAAATGCATCAGGAAATATTCTTCCCCTAAATGCCCGGCACCCTGCTGCTTATAACAGCTATAATTCTTTTTCTTTCAGCTGATCCAATCCATAACAGGATCATCGGTGTCTCAGAATGTAGTGATTGCCATGTCTGGTATTTCAAAGGTTTTTGCTGGGGAAATTGTTGAGGAAGGTGAGTGGCAGACTTACAAAGATTGTTCAGACAAAATAATTTTAAATATATATTTAAATAAGCTGACTTTATTTGAACTATTTCCCAGAGTGAACAATTTTCATTGTCATGTCGTTTTTCTTTGTCCTCACAGCATTGGATGTTTGTGAGAAGTGGGGAGATACACCACCTCTTCAGCCCAAACATATGAGGGAAGCAGTGAGGAGGTTGAAGAGCCGAGATCAGATTCCCAACACCAAGTATAAGAACATTCTCTTTCACTGAGGCACCAGAGTTTGACATTGTTTGGGGATCATGGAGACAGAGGATCAGCTGCGATGAAAACGTTGGGCCATCACATGTCAAAATCCGGTCACGGGAAACCACGTTAACGATGCTGCAGCCGACCAGTGGCTGATAACTCTAGCTCAGTGTTGACTGCAGCTCTGAAGAATGGTGAACGCAGCAGCAGAGTAAACCTGCCATTCACCTCTTGTTGTCAAAGCATAATTACATTTAAATTTTATAAAATTATATTCATGTATTATGGTTGTAAATAGTTTTTCCTTGAAAAGTAGTAATGTTTTGTTTTGGTGCCATAGTTATTCTTTATGACTCAGTGAACTTTGGACACATGGTCACACATAAGATTGCATCAGTGGTGAACCTTTGTCTCTTGTTAATTTCCAATCTGTGAGCGTGAGGAGGACATTAGGTTTTATTTGGAAATATGTGACACTAACTCCTCCAGTACTAGTTCAATGACTGTAACGACAGTTTGAACAGACCATGTTTTATACCTCTGAAGAATTGCGTAATCTATTAAATCACAAAGGCACAACTGAAGAGTGTTCAGCAATTCATTTATTCTGTCACTGTTTTAAAATATGTTCCACATACTTTGGTTCACAGAACCAGTTTTATATTAGTCTCGATGAAGTGGTAAAGACGATACAAAATTCAATGTAATTCTACATAAATGACAAAAAAATACTGTCCACAGGGGCTGCGACATCTGCGCCACTCTGGAAGATATCACAAGGAGTCCGCTGCAATCCTCTGAAGTGATTTACATTAAAACAAGTGCAATCTCCAGTGAAGTTACTACACAAGTGCAAGTAATTCACAAGGCATATACAACATACACGACTTCAGCACATGCATCTGGAGAGAGAAACACCCTGAAGTGAGTCCTGCTTCACCCTCTGTCCATCTCCCTTTTTATTTTATTTTTTAATGGCACACTGGGTTAGGGTTGAGTTGTCATGGAAACCCAGGCTTGCTCTGGAGTGCAAAAGGAAGTCAGCAGTTATCAGAGCACCAGTTTATCTGCAGATCAGGGAAGCTATGTTACACTGAGGCCTGACAGAGGAGAGAGAAACTCTACAGCTACATATGTTGCATCCAGAATGGGACGTTCAGTTTCGTACCACCACATCTTTGTTTACTGAGGCCATGCAAAAACATAAAACACCAAGAGCTGAGAAGAAGATCACAACTACAAGTGACACTGAGGTTAAAGGGCAGAATGACTGCCTTGTTACACCGACAGATTGAGGGGGAACAACACTAAAACCTAACAGACGAGTAAATTGATTTTCTTTGATTTAAGTATTAAACGTCAAACGTGTAGTGTTACTGTTCGTTGTCATGTTTTTGGTTAAAACTATCTGTCTTTCTATTGCTTCAATATTTTACATTCCTCCTTAAGAATGGAAAAACATCATTCATAGCTTGCAAGGCAACCACAGATTAAAAAAAGAATTATGAATACTAATGAAGTTAGAATGAGCAGTGCTGTGGTGAAACACAGCCACCAGAGGTCTCCAGGGTACAGAATGAGACACTGACATGAACTGTGGATGAAACAGCTTCAAATCGGACAAAGTACCTCCTGAAAGGGAAAAAACACTGAACAACTGATTTAACAATAACATTTGTACCAAAATTTGAGATTTAACACTGTGAAATATAGGTTTTTGTTGTGGGTTTGATAACATACATAAAACTGTGAGTGTGAGCAGTACCGTAGCTTTTTTAAATGTCACTTTCTGTGATTGATATGGCTTCAATACACTGTCGTCAATCTGGTCGTACAAAAACACAAATCTAAATAAATACACATGTAAACCAACAAACACAGTGAGTTCTAAGTGGATCATGTCTGATCACTCAACAGGATCAATGTGTACAGAGGTAATAACACAAGCAGTCTGACTTGTTTCCTGGCAAGCTACAAAAACAAGTTTAACGAGGGTCAAGTATTCTATCTCTGGTTTGCTGGTAAAATCCCAAACCTCTAACAGCAGAGAGTGAAAACCAGTTATAATACTGAAGGTACCGTGCAACCTGCTCTCCAGAGCCCGGGGGGGGGGGGAGAATGAAAGGCGTGTCGTCTTTTGAGTGGACGCTCACCCACAGAGACGCCGTTTCACAGTACAAAAGAAAAATGATAAACATTTCACAACTCGGAGAATAATATAACACTGGGGAATGATTCGACCTGCTTTCTCAGAACAACGAGAACTTGATATGTTTGTGTGACAACTGGTGTTAAAAGAACGCAGGTACTAACTGTGAAACATCCCTCGCTCTATGAAAGCAATGTCGTTATGCTTCTTCTTTTGTATTAAATTAAAAAGTGCATTGATTTCCCTACCTATTAAATTACATCAACAACAGGTGATATCTTGTTATAATACTTTTAAAAGAAAAGAAAAAACATGGATCTATTGTATGTTACACTCAAACTGAGGAACTCTACATCACTTAGTTATGACTATCTGTAAATGTGCTATGTGTAAATTAGCACTGTTCACAAAGCATGCTTGACAGTTATGTGTTTTTTGTAGAAGGAGCAACTGGCGGCTGTCTGGCAGTGTCATGTGAAGAGGAGGTTTTGGCTTGTGCCTGACTCAACAGCTTCGTAACACTAATATTAAAGTGGAGAGGATTAAAGCTTGATGATATTTACTCTTGCATGCTTTGTGACAAACACTGAAACCACACACTGAGTTTACTGTCCACACTAATTTGAATGAGAAATAACCACAATAATGTACCTATAAGTTAGTCCACTAGCTTTAAGTAGTTGTTATAAGGGCTCTTGTAATCTCATGAGTTGCATGATAATAGAATGAGATGTGATCCAAAGCCTCAACGTTCATTTTCTTCTCAAACATGACTTGTGCCCTGACATCGTCTTTACGTGAGTCTTCATGTTTCCTGACCTTCATCCCGATACATCTGATCACAGTCAGTCAGCAGGAGCACTGATGATCACTGGCTCACGGGTCAGAGAGTAAACGTGGGGTCATACTTTCTGACTTCCAGAAGGAGGCGCTCTCTGTCATTGAGGGCCTGGGTGAGGACAGCCTGGGCATCAGAGAGCTGTGACTCCAGAGTTTGTCTCTGTAAGCGCAGGATTATTGAATCGGTTAGTTTCAGCTGCAGGTAATGGAGGCGCTGCCTACGTGCTACACGCCAAGAGGGCAGATATCAGATTCTGATAGACAGCAGCAGGTGTAATTACGATACCATTACACAATCTTGTATACAGAGATATTCAACACCTCTGCTGTGTGTATCTTAGAGCTGACCAGAGACCAGACATCAGTAAACAGCTGTAATTAAGACATATATCTGAAACGAATCTGAAGGAGTCAAACTCAAACAGTTTGACAGTTTGACTTTTAAGTTCTAAAGAACAACACAGAGCCCTACAAAGCTTCAGTTGACTTCACTGTTGCTTGTTATCAAGGTTTCCTGGAAGCTTTACGTTGACTCCACACCTGAAATCTAATAAAAAATTACTAAAACTAAAATGTTCCTTATTTTCATTTGATGCAAAAACCATGACAGGGCTACAGACACGACCGCTGCACTGTTAACACCAAGGTCCTGTCCTCAGGTTTATCATAAGTGACCATATTGACTCTTTGAGAATGTGGCCTCAGCTTTGCAGGTCATGCCTTGCTGCATATGTCTTTGCATAATCTTTTTTGTGTGTGGTTGTGAAATATACTTTACCATCTAAATTGTTGTTTCATTTTCAGATCAATCTTTGTTCCACAAATATTAAAACATATTGAGTGACTCTTTGGGAAGTGCATCTCAAAATTAACTTAATAGTAAAACTCCAACTGGGACTGTAATGCTTAGGTTTTTTTTAAAGCACTATCAGATAAAATAAAACAATATATCCACAAAAACAACCTCCACAGTATTCATGTTCTAAATATTTATAAAACCTTGTCTGTGGCTCACTGCTGCAGATACACTAAGCAGATGCACAGAAGTATATAGTTGTATTTTGTTGGTTTAGTTTTCTCCTACCTCTTTCTTCTGTTGAACAGCACAGGAAGTGTCTGTGTTGTCTGGTCCAGCCACAGGAGCACCTGCTAAGGATTTAATTAAAAAAGAAACTGTGACTATCACTTTCTGTTCATCACTCTGTGACTATGATACAGATGCTCTAAGCCTGAGAACTTGTGACTTCAAGGTTCACAAACCTGACGAGCGTTTTGTTATGGTGAGCAAAATTAAAGTAAAAAATAATGAGTCTTTTCTTGCCGACCTTTAAGCCTCATGATGCCATCGTCACTGCGCTCCAGGAGAAGCTGATCTACGATGAAAGTGGCTGGGACAGGTTGAGGGGCTGTGGGATAGTTTCTAGGGCCATCATCCTAAAAAACAAAGAAAAAGGGATCCTGGTAATTCACATATCACCACATAAATCAACATTGGCTGCCCATTACTGCTTCATGCTTTTTTACTCCAAGAGTCTGTGCACAGATTCAATTCCATTTACTCTTAAAAACCAGGATGAGCTACAACAAAAAACAAAACAATGGTTGAGGTTGTTCAGTTCAGTGGAGAAAAACATGTTTACATCCAATCATGTAAAATATTTAACCTAAATGTAAAATGCATTTTCTACAAACATCTGAATTTAGCTTGATCCCAAATCCAAACATTATCAAGAACCAACCTTCATAGTGATGGTGATGTTGCTCATGTGTAACTTCATCGGTTGACCATCAACACTGAATTCGTCTTCGAGGAAAGGCCCAATGTTAGTCACCGTGGAGGCTAACAGCTCTGCCTGACAGTCTTGAACTCTCATATCCAGGAATCCCAGAGACTCAGCCAGAGAAGAGTGTCGGGCTGCAGACGGACCCATTTCTGCTCGCATGCGCAACACTGGAGACGTGCTGCTACCTCGCTTGTCCTTTTTCTGGACTGGTCCATCTGGAGCTGCAGAAACAAAGGAAAAGATGCATTTGTGTGAAAACGTAACGCTGCAACCAGTTACTGCAGGTTTTCTTTTTTTAGTTGAGAGAATATACAGCAATGTTTTTTAAGATTAAATGTAGAATATTGTAGAATATGATGTCTACAATAACCAGTTTACCTTGTATGAGTCCAGTCAGCACGTCAGACACCCTGACGGTACCCATCTGCACAGGGCTCAGATTCTGGGCTTCAACAGCCACAACTTGGTTTTCTCCTTTTACCTCCATGGTACATGCCGCTCCACTCATGATCAGTAACAACACCGAGGACTGTAACAACAGCACAATGAAGTCACACTGTAATTGATTACTCTTTGAGATATTATTTGTTCAGGCACATAAAAGAACTTCAATGTTGAACTCAATCTATTCATGAAAGTAATCAATTAATCATTTATTTGTATAGATCTTTATAGTAGAATCTTAACCCACCATGTCCTGAGACACGTCCTCAGTACTTTGGGACAGGGAGCTGCTGAGGTCAGCTGAGGAACCTCCCTCTGTCCCTGGGGCGGGGCTTCCCCGGCTGCCTGCTGGAGTGTTGTTGGGACGCATGGACTCCACACCTGACTCTGGAAACAAAATACAAAGCATCAGTTGGTGTCACCTGAGATATGGAGAGAATTTGTTCTAGAAATACAAGTACCTGAGTCCATTAGAATAACAAAATTTTCGCTGACATCACTATCCACATGATTTTCATCAGGTAGGCTGCCCTCCAAGATTGCACTATCAAAGGAATGCTGGGAAGGCGACTGCTTCATGGATTGGTGACGCAGGCTGGCAGCCAACGAGGGGGAGGACTCCTCCGAACGCTGGACCTGTTCCCTATGAAGACACAAATAACACACAGTGGTTAAGGGACAGCCAGTGAAAGCATGCAGTGCACAGTAGGGGTCCAAGCACACAAACAATGTTATTGTTGTTACCAACAGCCCAGCAGGAGAGCATTAGCACTTACTTTGCCTGTGGACTGAACAGTTTGCTCATCCCGGAGCCACGACTCAGGATGCTAAATGCATCTTTTGTTATTGAAAATGCCCCTTTTGTCAGGTCCAGCGAGGCACTGATGGCATCTTTAGTCGCATCCTTGGTGACGTTAATGGCGCTTGACAGCTCTCCCTCCAGGCTAAAGGTGGACGGCTCACGGGAGAGGGCAGGGGAGTGTCCAGGTGTCAGGGGAGGTGAGAGGACAGCAGTGTCCACTTGTGTTTTCAAACCGTCCTGCTCCGCCCCCTCCTCCACAGCCTCACACGCCTCCTCCACCACGCCGTCGTGTTCATCCTGATCAAACACAGTGACGGAGGAGATGCCGTTTTCCAACCCACTGTCCTCCAGGACCAACTCTGCTGAGTGATGAATCGGAGAAATATCAGAGTCTGTCATGCTGTCTGTTTCTGGAGTGTGGGGGACCTCTTCCTCTGGCTCTGAGCTGACTGGTGGCAACAGGAGACCTAGTTCTGCTGAGTCCACCACAAGGGCAACGCAAACAGAAGCAGGTTTGTTTGTCTTCTGGCCACGAGCCTGTTTAACATCTCGCAGATCCCGGCCCAACTCTGCCCCCAACCGAGCCATGGAATCCTTCATTCTCAGCAGTGCTACATACTGGTAGTGGTTGAGCCACAATTTCACTGGAGTGATGGTGTGAACCAGGAAGTGGATAGAGGCAAGCAAAGCCTCTTCCTGTTCTGGAGAATGCGGGTGGGCTCTGCTGGGACTGGAGGAGGAAGATGATGAACCGTTTTTAAAGGCAGCAGGCTGACACATCCACACAGACACGGCAAAGGGCTCGACAAAAGGCTGGGTCCTGCCTTTGGGGAATCGCCGAGCTCCATCAAAACCCAGGGTTACACGTGACAGACTGAGGGACCAGACGTCCTGGGATCGTAACTGCTTTCCATCTAGAGGTTGGGGCTCCGTCTCTTGAGAGTGATGTAGGAAGGAGGATGGGATGGGGTGGAAGGCACTAAGGTCTCTGGGGTAAGAGCAGCGTGATTCGGGTTGGAACAAAGAGCAGCTGGCAAACTTATCATAGATGGTGTGGAGGTCAGCTTTAGAGCCATGGGGGCAGAGGCGAGTGTTGCTAAGAACCATCTGGGGAACAGTAATGCATAGAGACTGTGGACGCTCTGGATGGTCCAGTATGGAAGAATCCAAGGGAACGATCAACTACAAAACAAAAAATGACATTACTTTTAAAGATTTTTTGCAACAAATACTAAAAAAAATAAAAAAATAAACACATACTACAAACTCCACCTTAAGCTGAGCTGCATCCATGCGGACGTCTACATGCTCTTCAGCCTTGCTACTGTCTTGCAAATGGTAGAAAGCTTTGACCTGGTCCAGCGTGTGCAGCAGACCCCTGGAAAACAGATTGATCCACAGCACACTGGCTGGGTCCACACACAGCTGCAGGCTGTTTAACTGGGCATACAGGTTTGAGGTGGGCACTGGAACGAAAGAAGGCAGGAGATGTAGATCATAAATTATAAACATAGGACACAACCAATCACACAAGAAAGTAAAAAAAGCTTTAACATATCCAAAATAAATATGTAGGTGGTGACTAGTTTTAAAGCCTTTTGTCATGTATTAAAGCAGAAGCACACATCTGTTTTGAAATATAACACAATAAGTGTCCTCTGACGAAAATAGTTCCAAAGAATGTGAGTAAAACAGACAAATTTCTCATAACTGTCTCATAAACAAAAAGATAAGTTGAAACCTGAGAGACTTGGGTTGTCAGGAAAGTAGTACTCAGTGAACTGCAGATGAATTGCTGGTACGCTGTCTGGCAAACGCAGTGCTTTACGATTACAGGATAATAAAGACTGGGTCTTCTTGTTCTGACGGCCCCTGGTAGACACCTGCAGGTTGAGGGGCAGAGGATAGAAACAGTGGTGGAAATATCTGAATATGGGATTTGAGACACAATAAATTAATAAATTAAATTTCTTAACAAAAGTAAAAATATGCTGCACTAACCAGAGCTAAAACATCAGTGACTTCCTGTCATAAAGTGGGGGTGGTGTCCACATATACAGAATTTCCCCTGAGAGTCTCTTGTTCTGACAAATGAGGAACTACAAGTGTTTTTTACTGGAAATAAACCCGAAAGTTTCATGAATTGAAAAGTGAAAATGCAGAAAGTGCCCCAGGGAGTAACTCTAATAGAAGGGGGGTTTCTCCGTCTTGGATGGGTTTTAGTAAAGCAACACCAATAAGTAGTCTTTGGTTAAAAGGGTGATTTGATGCCAAATATTTACACATCATCACATTAATATGTAAAATCAGCTCCTGATCAAACAATGGCTGATGACTTTGATCTGTTCCCTCCATAAGATCTGTCATGCAGATGCTTCAAGGCTGATAATCTCACACACAAGTGATGTTCACACTGCAGCACATGCGACTACTTTCAGCAGGCTAGCTAACTGTGGAGTGAACGTTAGTAGGAAGAGCAGACTGTCCATCTCTCTCCATCTTAAAAATGTCCACGGCAACTGTGTGACATGGTTTTAATATTTTTGAAATTGGAGATTTCATATCTGCAGTATATTTAGTGTTAAAGGTTCAGATACACTATTGTCACAGAACTATTTTCAGCGTCCACTCATGTAATCTACTGTATACTGTCATTAATGTAATCCACAGTGGGGACCTGATGGTCACGTCTGGGAATCATTCAATCACTTTTTGAGTTAATTCTTTAAGATACAATTTTACAGGAGTTGCTGATCTGTTCTCTGTGGTATGATCCACGGTAGATAACCGCCTTTTATTGAACAGTAAAGCTTCTGTTAAGGCAGGTAAATCAAATCAGCTGATGATAAAGGCTTGCCTGGTGTATGTCCACGTCATCCATTCTGACAATTACGCAGCTCGATCGCAGCCTCTTCAGTGATGACCCTGTCGGAGCAGTGTTCCTGGCGGTCGTCTGTTCTTTGTCAGACTGTCCATCTGAGTCATGTACACAGGAGAGTAAACACTGAAAATAACTCGCTTCTGCACAAGCATAAGAGAATAGACTGATTTTACAGATTACAAATCATAAAAATGTTATTCTTAGAGAACCATATGTAGATTTGTATGTCATGGGGTCTAATCACCACTGTGCAACAGTTGTTATTTATATTGTGGTGTTTACAGCATCTTAGTTGTTTTTCTGGCATTTGATTGTAGCTATGCAGATTCAATATAAGCACAATTTTAAGTCCACTTCCCTTTTTCATCGCTTTCAATCATATCACGCAGTCTCCCGCAGCTGGTGGAGTTTCCTCAGTTGCCATGGAGATGGACTTTTTGACATATGTTTGTTATAGCATTTTCCAGACTATTTACTATCAGTGTCTTAAAGATGCCAACAGATCCATCTCCAACCAAATTTTAGAAAGTGGATTTTAAGTTTGAACTGTAATCAAACCATTAGTCATTGTATATGTTTGTCTCTATGTTCAGCAATGAGGATTAATGAAAATTCAAACCTTTACATTGATTCCTACCTTGGCCTGCTTTGGCAGGAGAGTCTTTGGTTGGCCGGGGCACCTCAGAGTGTGGCCCTGGTAACCCAGAGGCCTCCACTCTCCTGTGGTACTCCTGCAGCAGTTTCCCAGCCCACTGGGCCTGAGCCTCCATGGCTCCACTGTGACGCTCCCAGTGTCGACATCCATCAGCTGTGTTGGAGAAAGATGGAAAAGCAGCTCTGATTCAGCAATCTCTTAAGAATAGTTTTAAATTATTACCTGCTTCAGTCTGCAAATGATTAAAACAATTACTGGATTAAAATATATGAAAAATAAACAAACCAAAATGGCAATTGATGGCTAAAATGTTGGAAGTCATGCTTTACCTATATAAGGTATTTAACCATTTAAAACTTAATTAGATCTCTTGATGCAAGTCTACAACCCAGTAAAATATAGAAAAGCAAAGGAGTCATAATCCAAACATGTGGATATACAGAATAGAAGCTGTGTATTCAAAAGTCTGTAATCTAAAATAAAAGCTTTTTTAAAACTCTGTTTAATTGACCATAAAGGGCTTGGAGCAATTCAGGAATTTCACAAAGACTAATGGCCCAGGGCACACTCTCTCAAGCCATTAGTCTGCTTGAATAGTAATCCTCCTAACAGCCACTCTTAACTGGACGCTGTGGTTTCAGTCGGTCAAGTGCAGAGTCTCAGGGTAAGCTGCAGTTAAATTATGGTCGCAGTCATCACACTCACCAGGTCTGTGGATGGGGTAGTAATCAAAACCCAGCTTCCTGAAGGTCAGCTGCATCGCACCCTGCAAGCCCGGAGGAGGTTCATCTGTGCAATATCACATTACCGTTAAAACCACCACCACATAAAATACTAAGCAGTTTACTTAAATGTAAGGGTTAAAGGAGAATTTATGCACGCTGGTACTTTTAGCACATGGTGAGTTCTTCCCAACAAACCTTCATCCATTGAAGAACTATCGTTGCATATGTGTAAGTCCAAGCGGGATATGAAGGTGTGGTAAGAAGACTCCTTTACATCGTAGAGATCAAAGTATTGACTCATGTTGTTGGGGGTGCCAGTCGGAGCAGGCGGGGGCTCCGTCCACAAGCTGTGGAGGCCAGGAGATGGAGGAGCCGTCTGAACAACAGAGGAAGGAAAACATCTCAAAATAAACAACCAACAAAATTAAGAAAAGAAAAAGTTTCTTGCAAAACATATTCTCTCTGCAGAAAGCTCCTGAGTCTTTCTCAGTGTCATCGTGACACTGAATGAATGCATAACTGCAAACCAATCTGGAGTCTGACATTTTATTGGGGGATGCACTGAGCATGTTTTATTTTTAGTAGCAACTTTATTTATATATTATGCATAGACAAGAACAAAAAGTGGCTTTCACACAGTAATTTTCTTCATGTGTGAAGAGTGTAACTTTAAAAAAAGACATAAAAATTAGTTGGTATAATGAAACACTTGAAAAAATAGTGGAACTTCTTTAATTTAAATAAACCTACAATTATATGTGTAATATTTTGAGTGATTATCGCTAGTTTTGTTTGTTGTTGTGTCACTTTTCTTGCATTTGGGTTTCATTGGCAGCTTAATGCTTGAAGTTAAATTGAGGTTTGTCAAACATCAAAACTTAGCTTAGATGTTTTAATCCCGACATTGGCCAAGATTATCCTGTAAAGACGTGATGTAGTTCAGTGAGCAGGAAGGAAACGGTACCTGCAGGGATTGAGCCGTCATGCTCTTCCTCTGCTGAGCCGACTTCTCCATGGCCTCGCTGAGAGATTTGGCGTAATGAATGATTGCTTTGAGTTGAGAGTCGGTCAGCACCCACAGCAGGTCGTCCAAAATAAAAAGCAGCTTGGACGCCAACACATTACAGTCCTTTATCTAGATAGAGCAATGAAGAATTAAAGTTAGGACAAATCGCTTGTGATATTTAACCAATTCCATGAATAGTAGAAACACAGTCATACTTTGCGTTTTAGAGCGATGCGAATGCGTCCTTGGTTGGTGATGAGACGTAACGGGGTGCTGCCGAGGTCCTGCTCGTCACTCTCAATGGCATCAGCCTCGATTCGCAGACTCTGCCAGTTGATTTCTTTGAATGTCAAAACCTAATAGAAACAATAAACTAATCAAACAATTCAACTTCAATCAAATACAAATGTCCATTATATAAACGTTAAATGGAATTATTGACACTGGTGTGGTAAGGCTAATATATATTTTTAGACAAACAGAGAAATAAAAAGCTATTCCCTCTAAGTGGATTATAAGATCTCATTCTGAAAGGTTGCTCATCTCAAGAAGACAGAAGATTGTATGTAGTTGGGCATTACTTTCAGACACCTAGGGGACAGGGGAAAGAAGTGTACCTCTCCTCTCTTGGGGTCGGTGATGCGGGTGTAGCGAAGGTCACTGCGCTGCCATTTGGGGTTGAGGCTGTTGCCTTGTAGCTGCCAGAGCTCAAAGGAGGCGTGGAAGGCTTGAGCCTGCACCTTGATGGTAATAGAGTTGATTCTAACAGACATGCCCTCCACCACTTTCTCAGCGAAGCCATACTCACTGTGAATGCACGATACAAAGATAAATGAAGGCACTGTCTACTAAGTACATGACATGTGACATTTATCGTCAGATACACAGACTTACCTCTGGCCTGCTGTTATAGCGATAGGAGAGGGGCCGTTGGGTGGACGAGGCTCTTCACATGTCCTCATCTCCACCTCTACCTTATCCAAGAACTGCACAAGAGAGGAAACCGATACACAGCATACCACTGAGATAGGGTACATGGAGACGGCCTAATATTTACAGATGATAAGCACAAAGGACGCAGTCTATGGTGCAGTATAACAGTAAAATATCTGTAAAGGGCACTGCTGGAGCCAGATTTCACTTATTTTGGATTAGAACACAGGGGAAGCTTAGTGTTGAAGAAATGTAGAGGAATTTTTGAAAGGGACAAGAATAACATTGTTTTTTTTACCAGGCAGATAGGGCTCGTTTTCAACTTCGTCCATTGTATCTGAAAAGAAAGGACAGCAGGGTCAAGAGCGTCAGTCACGAACACATTCTGCACTGTTTGTCATTCACTGAGCACAACGACACAGTGAAGCTCCAGCTCCCACAACATGAAGCAAGGGCAACAACAATAACAGTCATATCTGTCAAACTGCCTGTGCTGCTTTACAAACAGCAGCAAAGGCACAACACAGGAAATTAGTGAAAAAATTTATGATTTTATGATAAGACAAAGTAAAATAAGGACAATTTAGAATAAATAAATATCTTAAAAGATACTAATGTCCATTATGTTTGGGATCGAACAAGGTTAACAAATATCAAAAGGAAGAAAAGAGGATTACAGTCAGATTGTACAAAAGACAATTTATAAAAAATGTTATGACATGACATTTTTAAATACGTAAATTGACCCACCCACTGTCTGAGCATGATTAACTGGAATTACCACCTTGCAGTTGTATGCCTCTGTTAACCATATACGCTTACTATCTCCCCTGAAATCATAATGCGTTGTGTCACGGCTGTTTCCATCACTGAGGCATTGAAATCAACTAACAAACACACTTTATCTCTGGGAGCCTCACAACAAAAGAGTGTTTGTATAAACTAATATTATGGTTCAAGATATCTGGGTTTTCAAATTAAAGCTTTTTTTGAGACGTAGGCCTGAGGCTTTTCTGAAAATAGAAAAAAGAAATACATGAAATTGTAAAGGAGATTTTTTTAAGAGTGACAACAAACCTCTTTATTGGGATAAACTGTAATTATTGCATCAAGGTTGTAGGCATCCACCAACAAATCAAGTAACAATTCACATTCAGGTCAATCCAGAGATGACTTGGGAGGAATTTAGTGTCTGAGGTTGCAGCGACCTTGACCTTTGACCACCAATTCCCATCAGTCAAAGGGACAGCTTGTGCCAGAACTAATGAAAATCTCTCTCGCAGTTCCTGATGAATCACGTTCACAGAACATCAGGTTCATCTTGAGTCCAAGTGAAGTTTGGAGCTCAATTTGAAGTACAGACGGGACGGACAGATGGACGAATATATTACCTCTAGCTACAGCTGTCACTGGTGTGGAGACAGATAAAAAGAATGCTATAAATGAAAGCTATAAAAATAGCTTTGGGTTTATTTGGTCAATAAAATACAATACAGCTGCAAGCATAAAACAAACAAAGATACATACATATGTTATACATATGTGTCATAAGACAGACTACTTTAAAGCTGCTTTTAAATCAAATCCAGGAGAAATTGAAGTTCAAATTGTAAAAATGTATAAAGCACATTAATGGCAATATGAGCAATGTTACTGAATTTTTAACAAATTGCTTATATACTTCATACATGTAATGTTCTGGGGATTATTTGAGAGCACAAAACAGTGATCATTAAACCTCAATGTACACCAGCAGCCAGTATATCTCAGGATCACTTTAGCCTCTGGCCTGTTGTGTCCCTCTGAATCACGACATGCCTCTCCATTATCAACAACCAGCGCTGGTCTGGGAGATCACAACATCCTCTGTGGTGCCTCCAGCAATTGTGGTACTGCCACTGCTTATTTGCTCAATGACTCTACACATTTTGAAAAGCACCTCTTTGGCATTAATAAACAGGAAACCTTTGATTAGTATGAAAGTCAACAATGAGAAAATAGTCAAATTTACATAATTCATGCAGCATTTCTGTAGCAGGTGTTTCCATAGAAAAGAGAGAAAGCCTCACTCGTCAGATGAGCTACACAATCAGGTTTGACTGGTCAGGAACATACCCTGATGGCGGCTTTGTTGCAGTAGACCCGTGTGACAGCCAGCCAGGTCGGCAGGTCCAGCATGTTCTGCAGAACCTCTTCATCGAGTTCAAGGTTGGACAGCTGCCCCTCCCCCTTCAACGTGCTCAGATTGATCTTGTCCGGGGACAGGTTCTTGGTGAACCTGAGAAAAGGAACCCGATAAATATGTTCAAGCTGTTTGCTTTAGAGGTGAAAACACAACGTAACTTTTATCAGGGAAACACCAGCATACGTCACTGATGACAAAGGAGATAAAGATGAATTATGCAGCTTGACTAAGATGGAATGCATCTGAATGAGTCATCCTGACTCCTTTACTTGAGCCGCACACAGCTGTGCTCCTCAAGTAGGTTAAGAATGCTAACACAGCGAGCTCCAAGACCCGACAGTCTGACACACAGTGAATATGGAGCAATCCGAGCAAAATTATTCGTCACGAATTTTAATTTTGCATACGACACATGATCGAAAACTCTTCTGACAAATCCATGTGACGTTTTGGAAAGCCACCAAGAAATGTTGCTGAAAAAGCCACAGAATAAGTGGCATTCAAGAAACTTGAGTGTGGCTCACAGCTTGAAGACATGAGAATAGAGTCAACTGTTAACACTGTTTGGCCCAACTCCACGCCGCACCTGATAAACCTGATAAGCCGGTCAAAAGCTACTCAGCATAAAAATAACGGCTCAACACAACCTGATCTACTGCTTTCCTAAAACTAATGTTTCATATTAACTCCTACTCGTCAAGCGCCGTACATAAATCAAGCTCGAGGTATAAAAGCACATTGACATGTCTGAACATACAAAACAGGTTTGACTCAACCGTACGACTTAATCAGTTTTCAAACAATCAGAATAGATAAGAACATAAAGACGTGATTTGTGTAGTTTGCATGATTAAGAATTAAACATTAAAACAAAGACCATAGTGTTTCTGTTATTTCTGAAATTAAAAGGCTAATTGCTGAGATTAGCATGGTTTAAAAAAGGCAGAAATTCCAGAGATTCTTTAGGTAAGAATAGAAACCATTGTGATAGTATCCTGCAAAGCACAAATGTTTAGTTGAATAATTGCAATATCAAAACTGTTTTTTAAAGCAATCAACACAGAAGGATCAGCCTTAAATTCCATTTAAACCCAACAACCTCCACAAGTTCCCTGTAAATATAACGCTCCATCTGTGTGTTTACGGCAAAACATACAATTCGTAGATGTATTATTGCCCATTAACGGAGATGCTGAGTCCTATCTGGTGCAAATAACGGTTTTAATCATTCAGTGACAACAAGGAGGAAAATAACACTCAGTTAAAAGAAAGCCTCTGATTCAGCAAACACATACTGTACACACTCAAGATCACCTTTAGCCTCCTTTTAAACACATTTCACCCAAATGACATTAGCTCACCGTCAGCTGTGCTAAACTGAGAGCGACAGAAAACACAACACACTCTGCCTCAATAACAACTAAGAAAGGAAAAAGACCCAAGAGCGAGCACGGCCCTGTGAGGAGGGTATCAGCAGACATTCAGGGTAAAGACATGGTGTAGAGGACCTCACTGATGAAACCACAGGAGCAGTACGGAGACATTTGATGTTGCTTTTTTTACGTTTGAAGAATCGGTCACCATTTACTTGACTGCAACACTGTTTACCCCTGAAACTCCAAAAGTGTTGTGTGGACTCATCCACCTCTCCACTGTCATAGTGGTGTGTAGATAATGAGTGAATTTTCATTTTTGGGTGAACTATCCCTTTAATGTGTCCACAGACAGACATGGGGGG